GGGAGTTGAAACTAGGAGTGTGGCTGAGATGACTCAGAATTAACAAGTGGAAGGAGGAGGGAAGTCTGTCAAGGACAGAACCTAAGGGTGCACCACCATTTGAGGAATGGCCAGAGGGGGTGGAGATAATACAGGAGCTAAGATGGAATTATTAGATAAGATGAGACCCAGAAGAAAAGGAAAGAGAGGCATTACAGAAACCAAGAGTGGGTTCTAAGAAGGCAGTAGTTAACCCTCCCTTTCCCTCTCAAGGGCTACGCAGACAGTAAGGAAGCCTTGTTATGTGCGTCGCCTCCGCTCCATGCACTGCCATGACCTCAGGGCTGGCACTCCTTTCTTGTCTGCACTGCCACAAACATGGTCACTTACCTCTGTGATTCTTTAGAAAATCAAACCTGATTGTTACACTTTCACTGAAAACTCCGCACTGGCTTCCCACGGCGTGGATACGACATCCTCTTAGAGCTGTTCCAGGGCCACCTCTCCAGGATTTTCTCATAACCTCACGGCCCTTGAACAATAAGGTCAAGACACACTCAATTATTTACAGCTCCCTGAATGGTCCTGGCTGTTGCACATCTCTGCGCCTGTTTGTGCTGCTTTCTTTCTTTAGACTATCCTCTTCCTTGTCCACCCAGAAATGCCTACTCACTTTTTGAGAGAAGTCGTGGCGCTTCTTCTGTGAATTCTTTTCTGACTCTGATCTTCATAGAATTTACCACTCTTTTTTGCAGTCCACCTATGCCCTATTTAGGCTTTTACTGTAACTGTCTTGTTTACCTTTCTGTCTCACATGGTATTCAGCGGGCTCATTGTGGGCCAAGCCACGATTTACTGATTTTCATATTCCCAGCCCATGTCATAATGTCTAGTGCATAGTAACAGGTAACTTTTATTAAACAATTAACAGTGATTAAACTGTACTCTCTGTATACACACTCTAGTGGGTTGAATGGTGGCCCCTCGAAAATACATATCCATGTCCCAACTCCTGGAATCTGTGATTGTGACCTTGTTTAGAAAAGACGGCACTCTTTGCAGATGGAATTAACTTAAGGATTTTTATCATGAGATCATCTTGGATTAGCCAGGCGGGCCTTCAATTCAATGACAAACATCCTTAGAAGAAATAGAAGAGAAGACATAGACATAAGGGAGAAGTCCTTATGACAAGAGACAGAGGTTGGAATTATTTAGCCACAAGCCAAGGAAGCCACCAGAAATTAGAAGAGGCAAAGAAAGATTCTTGCCTAGACTCTTCAGAGGGAGCATGACCCAGGTGACTTCGATTTCAGGCTTCTGGCCTCCGGAACTGTAACAAAATACATTGGTTGTTTTAAGCCACCAAGTGTGGGGTAATTTGTTATGGCAGCCCTAGGAAGGTAATACACACACCACAGCCAAGAGGGGGAACTCTGAAATCTCACTGCCTAGGTTGTTTCCAGGCTCCACCATTTACTGGGTGACCTTTAGCAAATTACTTAACTTCTCTGAGCCTTAGGGGCCTGGGACAATGCTGAAAGGCGAAGTGTCAGTGTTCTGTTTAGCTGTCCACAGCACAGGCCTTGGTGGAACTGTGGGACGGTGAAGTCTGTCTTTTAGCCCTAGTTTTTCCCTTTCTGCACTTTTCTCTCCTTGTGTTTGTTTCTGCTTCTCTGTTCTGTGCGTGCATGTGCATGTGTGTGTGTTTTCGAATGTGATCGCTGGTATCTTTATCCGTTCCAATACCCAGGCTGGTGCATCTCACATGAGGCTGCTCTCTTGATCCAAAGTGCCCACGTTCTCAGATTTTCCTCTTCTTCACTCCCAGGTCAGAACCCCTGCTTCTTTGCCTTTTATCTCCTTTCATTCTATACTTTACATAGTCTTTATCATGTCTGTAATTAATCATAATAGGTTATTTTTAGTTATCTGTCCTGCTAGACTACAAGCTTTGTAAGGGCAGGGACTGTCTTTTGCATTTTTGCATTCCCCAGACCCTTGACACATAGTAAGCCCTTAATACATGTTTATTAAAGGTATGGATGGATTAATTATTTCGGTACGGCAGATGTCAGTTGCAATTAAGAGAAAAATATTTTAAACTCAAATGAAAATGGATGGTAGGATTAATCTCTGGTTATAGGCAAATACGTTCCTTATCTCTCTCTAGGCTACTGTCTCCGTCACCCTTGCTTTCTTCACATCTGCCTGATATCAGCAATCGACAACTTGGCACTTGCAGCTCAGGTTACAATACTCATGTCCACTTTCTTTCTAACAAACAGACTTGGCAAAAGGGCCGTCTCAAGGCAGGACTGCAGTCTCTGGTAGCAAAACAGAATTTCCATCCTGCAAAGCAGTTGGGTGCCAGTGCTAATCTTTACTAGCCCTCTTTTGAAGGAGAAAGCAGAAAGAAATAACCATTTTTTAAAAGTTTCAAAAGATAAAATATGCAATTCATCTGACATGCTAATCAGCAAGATATCACCAACTAAGTTTAATCAATGCAATTAAGTTTCCAAAGGTAGTAGCAAGAGATTTTGAAACTTCCTTTGGCAAACAACATCCTTTCTCATTTACTTATTCATTTATTTGAAAAATGATTATTACGCATCTCATGAGTGTCAGGAACTGTGCAAGGTCCTGGAGATAGAGTCAATATGAGAGACATGTCTTCATGATGCCCTGACTGACAATAAGCAGACACATAAATTAAACACTAATATGTAAGTAGTGGTAAATGCTGTGATAAAAATAACAAGAAGGGATACTGTGGGCTGTTTTAGGTAGAGTTGTCATGGAGGGTCTCAGAGGAGGGAGCACTTGAGATTTGGATGGTGAGAAGGATCAAGACGCGTGAAGATCTGAGGAACAGCATTTTGGCAGAGAGAAAAGCAGGTGGGAAGGCTTTGGAGAAGGAGCATGTTTGGTTTGTTTTTGTTTTTGATGAGTAGCAGGGAGGTCAGTAGAGTTGGAGAGTGGGCAGTGTGGGTAGTGATTGAAGGTAAGGTGGAAAGGGACTCTAGGGCCAGATCACGTGGGACCTGAGGGTCTTGGCACGAGGTTGGATATTTTTCAATTTCATTCTAGAAGGTGTAAGAAGAGAGTGATGTACATTGATGTAGCATCTTTTCAGAGGGAAGCATTTAGTGCAGTGGATGGAATATATACCTTGGAGCCATTTCAAGTCTTGGCTCCACCTTTCTGAAGCTGGGTGACCTCTTGCCCTGTTGTGTGACTTGTGTGATGTTTTTTTTTTTACTCGTTTTGGATGGGGTTAATACTCATCAACCTTGAAGAACTATTGTGAGATAAAATGAAATAACCTTTCAAGGATTCATTACTCTTCCACCTGGATTTGAATAATAATAGCTGCTATTATTATTTCTAGTAGTATTGAAATACAAATTCCTTTTAAATCAGGCATTACTTCCTTTCGATATACCTATGAATTATGCAGTTTTTTTGTTTTATTGTTTTTATAAAATTTGTTTACAAACTTGCAAACAAATTAGCAAAGCAGTGTAGGAAGGTAGAAACAATATGGTTGGCTTTACTCTAACTAAATAGCTGCCTCTCCTTTTGAGTCCGAGTTCCTGTGCACCGGTGTCCCGTGGCCAGTTCCTGAACTTGTGTCTACATAGTTACAGCCTGTTAAAATTTCCCCTCTTTCCGAATGGGGGTGATGCACTGAGAAGCGTACCAGAGGGAATGGAGCAGCCAGGGTAAGATTTTGAGGTGAGGGGCGTGGGCATTGACAGTGGGACGCAGTGTAACGGCTCAGCCAGTCAATGTAGCCTGCCTTGAAATGAAGATGCCTGGCACACCCACAAGTCCTCATGGCCTGCCACCATGTGTCTTGGGTACATTCTGTTGCCTTGACAACATGTCATCCAGAATTGTAGAGAGGAGCAGCCTTCAACCTTTCGGTGTCACATTGCTAGGGTAATAGACCTTGTGGGAAACCAGGCTTCGCTGTCCTTTCTATGTGCTGTTGCCACCCACCCCTCTCTCCTACTCCTCCTGCCTATCCTTATGCCCACCGCCTTCTGTCTGCATTCTTACTTCTTTTGCCTTCATCGATTCATGTTGGCATAATCCTCCCAGCTCCCTCTAACCCCTTTGCCTTTCATTCTTTTACCATTCCACTATTCTCATTACTAATAAATGCAAATGTTGCAAATTCTCAAAAAATAAAGCTGCATAACATAATAAATTAAAGGGATGATGAGAATGAAGGAGTTCAAAACTATCCAGAAAGCAGGGAACGGAACTTGATAGTTTCTGTAGTTGAGTTGAATAGTGTACAGTAGTAATTCTTAAATTGGGTGGACCTTAAAATCAACAGAGAAGTTTTAAATAATAATAATAATAATAATAATAATAATAATTATTATTATTATTTTAAATATAGCTCCTTCCATTCCATTCTCAACGATTCTGATTTAATAAGTTTGGAGTAAAGCCCCAGTAATTTCTATTTTCACAAAGTAAGTTCCCCCAAGCAGATTCTGAGATACTGGCTGGTTTAGGAACCACTGGCGAGTAGATCATGGTACGTTGTTTAGGTTATAAAGTTTTGTGATGGATCGGGATCTGTCTGTTGGGCTTTCTTTTTATGGTTTTCAGAGCAGTATATTCATGTGGCTGCCTAATAATGATTAAGAAAGAGGAAGAGGAGTTGGAGAAAGATGAGAAGAAGCTAAAGGAGATGAGGAAAAAAGCCAAGGAAAACAGAAGGGAGGGAGCAATGTGACAATGACAGGTGGAAGCTGTGGAACTGGGTGTGGGGCCATCAACCATCAGATGTCAGGCTCAAGGATTCTCTTGTCTCTGACTTTCAGGTGGAGTGCAGGCTAAGTGTCTTACTCTAGAATCGATTAACATGCGCTTTTGGGTGTGTTTTGAATCCTGGATTTTTCCTGGTTAGTAAGAGACTAGGGTAGGGGAGATCTGGAATTTCAGAAGAAGTCAGCTTCGTTCTGTTTCATCCTTAAAAAAAAAGAGAAAAAGTGCTTTCCGGCAGTGATGACCTCCTCACGAGAACATGCCTCTCGCCAAGGACCTCCTCCATCCCTCTCCAGAAGAGGAGAAGAGGAAACACCAGAAGAAGCGCCCGATGCAGAGCCCCAACTCCTACTTCATGGACGCGAAGTGCCCAGGATGCTATAAAATCACCACCGTCTTCAGCCATGCCCAAACTGTAGTGTTGTGTGTTGACTGCTCCGCTGTCCTCTGTCAGCCCACAGGAGGAAAAGCAAGGCTTACAGAAGGACACTCCTTCAGAAGGAAGCAGCACTGAAAGCACCATGAATTAAGATGAGTGAGGAACCATCCCAATAAACACATTTTGGATACTAAAAAAAAGGAATAAGTGCCTACTGCACGTTAGTGCTACGTTTTAATGAGATAGGGCTTTACATGCCTTTAGCCAGTTTAAACCTCAAAGGAGCCCAGGATTTAGGCAGTAGAATTACTCTCCTTCTTTTACAGATGAAGAAGCTGAGGATTGAAAAGGAAAGTAACTGGCCCACAGTCACACACTAGTAGTGGCCGTGTGGAAATGAGACCCATCGTCTGATGGATGGTAACACCCGTGGCGTCCCCCGGTATGCTGCACTTCCTCTTGAACACTTTCGTTTATGCGGTCTTCGTGGGACATGTAGCTTAGCCCGGAGGGAATACCCCAGCTGTCCAAACAGCAGTTAGCTGGAACTTGGGCAAAGCAGTTCCTCTCTCTCCCAGTGGGTCTTGATTAGGACCTAAACATTCAGCACAAGAG